GATCATTAAGAAAGGAAAAAAAAAAAACTCTTCTTCCTCCTCCACTGGGGTCTCCTGCAGCACAGTATCACCCCTACGGGAATTGGGGCAGGGAAGTAAAAACAAAGCTGGCTGTGGGTGCCACCAGCCCAGCCCCAAGTCCAGGCCTTTCTGCCCTACCCAGGCTCCTGAGTGAGGACTATAAGTGGTTCTGGCGGGCTCAGAAGAGGAACTCAGGCTCTGCTGTTGACATTTCGCCACCACCCAGCCGCAGGGAGCAGGGGGGGGCATTCCTACCAGCAGCCGAGATTTCATAACGCGAGCTCCTCCGGATGGACAAGGTGCAGAAGGCCCTGGAGGGGGTTGCTGCTGGGGGGCTGGGCCATGCGGGCTAAGCCTGGGAGGGTCTCCATCCAGGAGAGCTGGGGGAGGGTGCTGCCATCATCCCCCTCAACCCCACTCCAAAGCTATGGGGTGGGGATGGGGCTGAGCCCTGAGAAGTCTTAAGCAATGGCTGATGGCTCATGGCATGGAAGAGAGTATATCTGGGTATACACCGTGTCTACACGGGGCACACTCCAGGTCAGCTCCACTGAGGGTCCCTGCCACCCCACTTCTCTTCCACCTTGGGCACTTGTCACAGGCTCCCAGGGTACAGGCCAGGGGCATGTCTTGGCCTTTAAGAGGAACTTGAAACAAGCTTTCAATGTCACCAAGATGCCTCTGGGGCCTGTGTATAGCCGATCCTTCCTTTACGATGCCTCCACTGCATGGGGGGACGCTGAGGCAAGCAGATGGAAAGTTCCTGGGACTATGAGAAGGGAGGGAGGAGCCATGGGCAGCAGAGACTCGAGGGGTACTGGGGTCAGCACGGAGCCCTCGGGGTCCCCTAAGGACACACGTGGTATTAACTGAGAATGTTCGTTTTCATCTTGCGATTGCATTTGTGCCAGCAGAGGCCACAGGGGGCAGTGACTCAGTCCCATGTGTGTCAGGGAATGACAGGGTGGAAGGTGTGTCTTCAAACTCAGCTCCCGGGTGGGTGTTTGGCCTCACGGTTTGGACTCCCATGTCCCCTAAGGGAGGACCTAACTTCAGCCCCCCGGCTCCTGCCTACACCACCAGTGTTATGCTCCGAGGTGGGAGGCAGCAGGTGAATCGCAAGTCCTTGGGCCCCTGCCACCCATGTGGGAGACCCAGAGGGAGTTTCTGGCTTCAGCTCTTGAGGAGTGAACCAAGGGATGGGCACACTCGTATTGTTTAAATAATACAGGAAGAGAGAGAGTGTGGAACCCACATCTCTGGGGATACTGTCCATGGTCCAGGTTGGAGGTAGCTGGGTCCTGGCAGCAGCATGGTCATTGTCCAGTGCAGATGGGGACGGCGCTGTTGGATGTGCCCCTCCTCTGACCGACTGTGGAGGAGGAGGAGGAGCTGTGCTACAACTCAAAATCCCTAGCAACTGAAGGTCTAGCCCTGTTGTAGCCAGCTCCTGTGACCTGATGCTTCTGTTGTTGGTTTTATTTTCCTTGCCCAAGCTGCTCTTTCTGCTTCTCTCCGCCCTCTAGCTCTCAAGGGGAGCACAGGTGCAGGTGAGTGACTAGCCGGGCAGCTAAGGGCCAGACAGCGGCACCTTCACAGAGCCTGGGATTCATTCTCTCACTGCCCATCTGTGCCTGGGAGAGAAAAGGGGAATCTTCCAGAATGGACAGCAGTCCTTTATCTCATCCCAGGTGCGTCAGGAGAGGGCTGTGCAGGCCCATGAGATGTCTTTACCTGAGCTCACTGGAGCAGGTGCAGGCTCCAGCCCTGATAGCCCGCTTTGATTCTCAGGATTCTAGAATGCAGGGCACTGATCAGCTTTGGCCTTGGTCTTGACCCCCACTCACAATTTGGGCATTCAGAAAAGTCCTGCTTGATGCGCTTGCCTGTGATCCACTGCCCAGCCACTGTCCCATGCCAGACTGCCTTGAAGAGCCCCCCGGTCCTGTGTGCTTAGGTAAGACATTGTGCTTAGGTAAGATGAAGGACTTACAGGGACCTGTGTGAGCTCCTTCCAGAACCATGCTCTGGGGACGGATGGGGGAGAAATCCACCTGTGAGGACAAAAGTTGGCTGATGACGCCTTGCCTGTCTGCTCCTGCGGGAGCTGACAACAGGCAGGCTGTTCACGTTCCACTGTCACTCTTGTGATGACACCTCATGTTCAGCCTCCTGCAGTGGGCGCTGGGCCAGCTTCTGCTGCTTTCCCAGGCCGTTAGTAGGGAGCTGTGTTGAAAAGGAACAGCTGGGACATGAATTGGCACCCGTAAAAGTTGCTAGTTTGCACGCAGGCCACAGTTTCAGCTCCAGCTCCTGATTCCAGTTTCCTGCTAATGCAGACCCTGGGGAGGCAGTGGGAATGACTCAAGTTGTTGGTTCCCTGCCACCCAGAGGGGAAACCTGGATTGGTTTTCTGGCTCCCAGCTTTGGTCTAGTCTAGTCCAGGCCATTGTACTCATTTGGGAAGTGAACCAGCAGGTGGGCAGTCTCTCTCCACCTCCCAAGTAAAACGTTTTCAACAGCTTCCAAACTCCACAACAACCTGGAGTGGATTTTCCACCTGTGCTTCTATATGCTTATGTTTTAATATGTATGCATCATCTTCCGTGATTATCTATTTATTTTAAAAAATTGTTTACTGAGCCCGGTGCGGTGGCCTAGCAACTAAGTCCTCACCTTGCACATGCTGGGATCCCATATGAGCCCTGGTTCTAATCCCAGCAGCCCTGTTTTCCATCCAGCTCCCTGCTTGTGGCTTGGGAAGCAGTCAAGGACAGTCCAAAGCCTTGGGACGCTACACCCTTGTGGGAGACCTGTAAGAGGCTCCTGGCTCCTGTCTTTGGATTGGTGCAGCTCCGGCTATTGCAGCCACTTGGGGAGTGGATCAGCAGGCAGAAGGTCTTCCTTTCTGTCTCTCCTCCTCTTTGTATATCTGATTTTCCAATAAAAATAAATACATCTTTTTAAAAAACATTGTTTACTAATTTATTTCAGAAGGGGAAAGAAAGCATGTGTGCGCACACTCGCTGTGCTGGTTCACTCCCCCAGATGCCCACGACAGCTGGGGTGGGCCAAAGCCAGGAGCCAGGAGCTCCAGCCAGGCCTCCTGCATGGGTGGCAGAGGTCCCACTGCTTGAGCTGTGATTGCCTACCATCCACCAGGGTATACGTGAGCCAGAAGCAAGAGCAGAGCAAATGCAGACAACTCCACTATGGGCAGCCAAACCACTGAGCCAAATGCTGACCGTTTTTCTTCTTTTCAATTGTATGAATTTATGTGTTTCATTTGATACACATGTGCATAGTGGATCAAATCAAGGTTTACTAGCCTACTCTGTACCCCCTACACTTGTCATTTCTTTGGAGTGAACCATTAAAAAATCCCTTCTAGTTGGCCGTATGCGACACCATTTTGTTGACTACTATCACCTTACTGTGCACAGAGAGCCAGGACTTTGCCTGTCTACCTGTACAAGTCTGTCTTATCCATGCCTGTTGTATGCCTGCTGCCTGGTACTTATTGGTCAATAGATCAGTGACAGAAAGGATGCCTGCATGCCACCCATCACCACATCATTCCAGCTTCATAACACCTGGGCTCCCAGGGGCATTTGTGAGAGGGTGCTTGAAGGCTCACTCGGGCTGACTTTTTCTGTAGATAGGCGGCCTCTCCTAGGCCCTAAGGGAGCTGGAGAATTTGCCTATGGGGATGTCCATGAGCCTGAGCACTGGCCCTACAGCTGGGAGTTCCTGTCTCTTTGCGTGTCATTTGCATTGCTCAGCTTTGTGCTCCGAGCTTCCTCTTCTGGTTTCCTGGTCCTTCCCCAGATCCACGGAGCTGGACCAACTGGACCAATAGACTGCTACTTCCTCGGCTTCCTGCACCCCCATATGACTTTGACCCGACTGGCTGGTGACAGGGTCTGCCTGGAAACAGTGAAAGCGTTGACATAGCTGTGGGCCTCGACGATGGTCACATGGGCTGTTAGCATGACAGCACCCCTCAGTCCCGTGACCACCCGATTCCACGGATCAGTAAATTGAGGTTCAGAAAAGTCCAGAAAGTTGCCAGAGACGCGAAGATAACAAATCTCAGAGTCCAGATTTGCAGCCCAGTCTGTTGGATGCCACAGCAAGCATCTAATCACTGTGCCAAAATGCATGATATGATCTCCTGGAATGGGGTGGGGCAGTGGGTGGGAGGAGCCACAGGCGACCCTCATGCAGAATCAAGGAGGAGGAGCCTCCTACAGCCCCTTAGGAAGTCCATTCTCCACACACATTCACACACACCCTCTCCTGCAAGCTGGGCTAAGCAGCCTCGAGTCTCTTCTTGCTAAGATAAGAAAGAAGAGTAGCTGGGCAGGGTCTTGGAATCACCGTGAACATAGCCGATCCCCAGGGAAAGGAAAGAAAAATGGTGGGAGTGAAGGGCAAGGGTAGACAAGAAATGGGTACCTGGGAGCCGGGCACCCAAATGGAAGGTGTGACAGGAGGTTCTGAGAGGGCACGTGGCACACACTCCCCTCTTCCCCTGTTGCTTCAGAGCTTCAGTTCCTAGCACGCTGAGGGCCACACTCTGGCAGCTCCATCCATAGGCAGCTGACTCATGCATGCCTGGAAATTCAGCCAAAGTCCCCCCTGAAAGATTCTGGTTTCCACCCCACCCCACTGGGGTCTTCCTACCCAGGCCCTTGGGGGTTGGCCACTCCCTCCCTGGGCATTTCTGGGCACTCCCTGGGCTCTTGGCGTCGCTCCACGCTACCCGAGTCCCATCCCTGAGCCTGTGCCTTCCTGCTGAAGGCTGCTCTGTCTTGTTGCTCAAGCACAGTCTGGGTGGGACGGAGACACCCACGGTACCCCAGCTGGAGCAGAACTAATCCCATGGGGCTTGTGAGCACCTGCTACACCATCGAAGCAGGTGCACCCTGGGACCTGGTGCTCCCCAGACTGACTGGTGGTGTCTGTGCCTCATGCAGGCGATGACTCAGGATGCAGCCAGGGGCCACGACGTGCACAGAGGACCGCATTCAGCACGCCTTGGAACGCTGCTTGCATGGACTCAGCCTTGGCCGCCGCTCCAATTCCTGGTCAGGTAGGTCTCCAGGAGGTGTGTGTAGGTGGGGAGAGAGCAGTGTGGAGGAGGCAGCCCAGGGCCAAGTGGGTACTGGGGATGACTCCAAACCTTGGGTAACTTGAGCAAGGACTTGGATTCCTCCCTGGGTGGGCACCCAGCCCAACCCCTCCCCTGGTATCCAGTATGACTTCAGTGTGTGTGGCCTGGTCTCCCTTCCCTCTGGAAGTCTTCCATCTGCCTGTGTGTCCTAGAAAGCTAGCTTCTTGAACCTGCTGAGAAACTCCACAGCCACAGGTTCAAGACAGCAACTGGGGACTTGCAGGGGGCTCTCCCCAGCATCTCTCTCTTTACTGGCTTCTAGTTTCTTCGACTCCCCACACCCCAACAGCCTCAGCTCCAAGGAGCAAGAGGCCTTGAAAATGTCCCAAGTTGCCCAGGATGGTGAAACAGGCTGTGCGCCAGCTGGGACCGTCACGTCTCCAATAACCGGTGCCAACCTGGTCATAGCCATTCCTTATGATGGAAACAATGTGTCACATCCTGTTTCTCACTTCCTCCGGAAGAAAGCTGTGAGCTTAGAAACCCACTGTGCCAGGAACACGCCTCATTCCTTCCTACCTCTGGGCTTTTGCACAAGCTGGCTCCTTCTCATCCGAATCTTCAGTGTCATCTTGAGATGGTCAACAAGTGGTAGCTTTCCTTGCTGCCTGCTGCTTGGGTTTTGAAGGGCTAAGAGTTCACGGAGCTGGGAAGAAGCGGATATCGTTAAGTAAAAGAATGTCAAGGATTTTGCAAATCCTATGGACTGAGGACCACAGGAGCACACGGTTCAGGACTTCTTGCGCGTGGGAGGAGCCATAGAGTTCCAGACACGAGAGGGGCCCTGGAACTTAAGTTTCGTGAGATTCATGGTCAACCCACTTCCATCAGACCTGCACTTGCTCATGTACATTCCCCTAGACACACACACACACACTGAAGCCCACACACTTACACATGTGCGCACATATGTGTACTCACACCACACACACTCACACACATGCAGCTGCATTCACACACATTTGCACACAACACACTCATCACGCCTTTAGTTTTTAGGGATTTGCCCTCTCCCATTTCAGAGAAAAAGAGACTTTCAATCTCGGAAAGTCTGGGGAAGTTACAGAGTGACGAAGCTCTCCCTGCAGCTAGTAAGCGGTAAACACGCTTAGATTCTTCTCCTTCCTGGGTTCCGGGCCGGGCTGTCCTGGGAAGCCCTGCAGCTGCCACAGACTTGGACTTGATTTTGATCCCTTTGCTCTTCCAACTGTATCTGCCTCTGCGTTGCGTAGGCACCAGCGCCCACTACAGGAAACCCGGGCCAGGAAGGCTGTGGGTGAACTGGGTGCCCCCCCAGAGGTGCAGGAGCCGCAAGTGCTGCGGTTCATTGGCCCCTAAAGAGGACCCTGGCCTGGATCTGCAGCTCTCCCTGGGTTTCCTGAGCCTGCTGCATGTTGCAGGAACAGAAAATAGGTCTTGAAGTCCTACTGGGACCTTGAATGGTGACCCCATGTTGTGTGTGTGTGTGTGAGAGTGTGTGTTTTCTTTTCTCTTCTTTTCTTTTCTTTTTTTTCCTTTTCTTTTCTTTTCTTTTCTTTTCTTTTCTTTTCTTTTTTTTTTTCTGAGATGCTCGGACCTTGGAAAGAAACATTTTGGCCTCAATCTCCACTTCACGACCAAAGGCAGCCAGGAGAGACTTTAGCTAACTCTTCTTCATTCCCTTTTGCAGCTGGGCTGTGTCTGAACTGTTGGAGCCTCCAGGAACTGGTCAGCAGGGACCCTGGCCACTTCCTCATCCTGCTGGAACAAATCCTGCAGAAAACTCGAGAGGTGAGGGTGCCCCAGAGGTGCATCCAGCTCCAGGGCTCTCTGCACCACCCAAGGGTGCTTGGCTGTGGCCCTGGAAGCTACATAGGTTTTGCTTGCACCTGTAGGTCTCCAGGTAGGGATGAATTCTTTTTCAAGTGGATGTGCAGTGAGAAGGGGAGCCAGGGTCCTAAGTGATTTTCTGAGCTGGGACACGGCATTGTGAGTTGAGGTTTCAGCCAGAAAGCAGGAGGGAAGCCGCCCTAAATTCCTCCCCCCACCAAGAGCCGCAGCCCCAGCGATGGAGAAGGTAGATCGGAAAGGTAAATTGAGGCTGCCTCTGATCGGATTCTTAGGAAGTAGGGATGTGTTTGTCCGTTCATTCTTTATTCAGGGAGGGCTCCCACCTGTTGGTCTGCTTCTCACCCCTCAGTGCAGGTCTGCCATGTAGCCGGCAGGAACCCACTGTGTGCTGCTGCTTAGGATCTCACATACTAGAAGCTGGAGGCAGGGACAAAGGCAGGTGTTAAAACCAAACCCTCCCATGCAGGAGGCAAGAGGCTTAATTCCTGGGCCAAATGCCCACCTCTGCAGAACATGCTAAATGCTGATTGGGCTAGCATTTAGTGAATCCCAAAAGAGAATTCTGGCTCTCTCTCTCTCTTTTTTTTTTTTTTTAATTTTAATAACTGTGTGTATTTGAAAGACATACACACGGGGAGAGAGAGGGAAAAAGAGCTCCAACTTTCATGTGCTAGTTCGCTCCCCAAATGCCTGCAACAGCTAAGACTGGGCAAGGCTGAGGCCAAGAGCCCAGAACGCCAAACAGATCTCCCATAGGGTGGCAGAGGCCCAAGAGAACCTACTGAGGTCTTCCCACATGCAATAACAGCTGATGTTTCCTCTGTGCCTCTAACTTGCACAAGTTCCAGAAAGATCCAGGAGACCTTCAGCACTCTGACCAAAGGATTTGACACTACATACGCACATGTGTGTGTATGTGAAAGCGTTTCACAACATTCATGCTGTGAAAGTTCAGCCCAGTGGTTAACACATACCAGTTAGGACCCCTGCGTGCTGCGGGGAGAGCCTGCCACGTGGCCTCCCGGCCTGGGCTCCTGACTTCAGCTCCCTGCTAGCAGCAGGTGAGAGCTCAAGTTGTTGAGTTTTGCATTACTGGCCCCTGGCTTCCTTCAGTCTGTTGTGGGCCCTGCCCTTGGAGGCATTTGGGGAATGAACCAGCAGGTGGAAGGTACCCTCTCTCCTGGCTCTCTCTACATCTCAAATAAATGCATTTCTTAAAAAATTATAAACAAAAACAGGTCAGAGACAAAGTTAAAAGAGAAGTTTGTTTTAGTGCAGTAACATTTTGACATGCCTTGATTTCAAAATTTTCTGCCTCCAAATAAGCTTATCTTTCAGTTCCATTTTCTGTGCACACATGTAAAGTGGTAGGCTCTATCAAAGAGACTCATAAAAGGAGAAATGGAAGTCACAAACAGGAAAACAAACACTGCCTCCATGGTAAGAAAATAAATGCAAACGGGAATCATAAAGAGGCAGCCTTTGCCTAGCTAATTAGAAAAACAAAAACCAAAAAACCTCCCCAAACCTGCGATAACCAACCAATGCAGGAAGACCATGGTCAAATCGGCATTGTACACGACAAAGATAATAGAAATGGCAAAATCCTTTTGGAAAATGATCTGGAAGTATATCTCAAAGGGGAGATTATTTCAGAAAACTCATGGGGCTAAATGATAAGTTGGTTTGGGGACAGTTTGGGGCATAGTAGAGAAGTCACGGCTTGTGACACCTGCCTGGTTCAGTCTGGCTTCTCCGTGTCTGATCCAGGTTCGAGTTCTTACACGACCTGGGAGGCTGCAGGTGATGCCTTAAGACTACTCGAGTGGGAGACCCACGCTGGGGGTCCAGGCTCCAGTCTGGCCCAGCACTAGCTGTCACAGGCATCTGGGAGAGTGAACCCAGGAGTGGGCGATGTCTCTCCCTCTTTTTCTGCCTCTCAAGTAAAGTGAAAATAAATGGGAAATTATGCACATTTTTAAAAGGTATATTTATTTTGGTACCCCCCAAAAAATGGAAAGTGATGTATTATTTTTAAATAACATGCATGGGCTCTGGGAGACCTCTCGTGTGTTTACAATCTGTGATCTCTCCCATATAAATGACCCAAATTATAGGAGAGTGAATGTGCGGTGATGTTCGTCACAGAGTTATGTAAAAATCAAGAAAATAATCTCAAATGTCCACACTAAAATGAATGAACTATGCTGTTTTATGCAGCCAATAAAATTACATTACCTTAGCATATAAGCCAAATTTGCTATGTGCTAAATTATATCAGTAATATTTTTTTCATTGTTTAGGGGAAACTAAGCATTTAGAAAAATATAGAGTAAGATACCCAACTTACAACATATAGCAGATGCAATTCTAGGTGGAGTCCAGATTTATCTGTAAGAAAGCGAAGTTTTGAAAGAAAATATGGATTTTGATGTAATTCTTTTTGAAAAATATTTTTTTATTTGAAAGAGTTGAGAGTGAGAGAGATTCCACCCACTGGTTTACTCGAAATTGCTGCAACATTCAGGTCTAAGCCAGGAGCCAGGAGCTTCCTCCAGGTCTCCCACATAGTTGCAAACCCTAGAACCGCCCTCTGCTGCTTTCCCTGGAGCATTAGTAGGAAGCTGGATTGGAAGTGGAGGAGCCAGGACTAGAACCTGTGTCTATGTAGGATATCAGCACCACAGGTGGCGGCTTAACATACTGTGCCACAGTGCTGGCCCTTTGATGTGACCCTTGCATGCAAAACCAAAAATTAATAAAGGAAAAGTTAACTTTCAACTTCTTCTATGCATTAAAAAGAAGAAACCGTAAAATTAAAAGACAAGCAACAAACTGGAAAACATATAGCATGAATAATAGGAAGGAAGACCAGGTGGTCTTCGGGGCCCAGTAATTCAACAGAAATTCACTTGTAATATTACATATAAAAGACATAAAGAGTAAACTAGACCCCCCATGATTGTAATGTAACTTAAGTTATACACACTGTAATTATCATAGAACATAGTCTATGTATTTTAGCATACTACATAATGTACCCTTGGATTATATTTTTATGGGGGCGAACATGGGGCAAGTGGGGTACAAAGGGCATGGGAGCAATAGCTGTGCTTGGGTTGGAGAGCGACTCTTGAATGGTTTTTGTTTTTGTTTTCTTCCTTCCATTTTTCTGATTGCTTTTCAAAGAGAGGGAACAGAAGAGAATGAGAAGGCACCGTGGCGTGCTGGGCCCAGGGACCCGGCGCCTGCGTTCATCTCCACACTCTTGTCCTCTCACAGGTTCAGGAGAAGGGCACCTATGACCTCCTGGCGCCGCTGGCCCTGCTGTTCTACTCGACCGTCCTCTGTGTGAGTGCTGGGGAGCCAGGTGGGAGCAGGAAGGGTGGGGTGAGCTCTGTGAGCGACAGGTCCTGCACCCCTCTGTTACGGGAGGACATGTTGACACAGACTTCCACCCTCTGATGGTTTCCAAGGTGTCAACTGGGAGACTCCCAGCTGTCCCGCGTGGCTGCCACCACCTGTCCCAAGCCAAAAGAGGTAGTCCATTGAGATTTGACATCTGCCCTGGTGTTTAGACCCGCAGTGGCTGGTTTCATCAGGGGTGATCCACTGTGTTCACTCCACTCCATGGAGCCACCAGATGGCTCCATGCCCATTGAGTCCAGCTATTCACCAGGAAGCACTGTGTGCCTTTAGCAAGGTGACAGACAAAGTTATTTTAGGTAGATGAAGGCTTCCCTGCCCCAGGAGATGGGAGCCAGCGTAGCATGTATAGCAAGGCTCTCTAAGCTGTTGGATCTACCCTGTTCTTGTTATCCACCTGTGATTCCCTCTGGGTCTTCTTGACCTTGTCTTGGCATACACTTCTTGTGTATGTCTCTTGTGGAACATTCCAGAAAAGGAACAGAAGCTTTTCTGGGATGTCCATGAGCTTTCTGTCACCTACACTCCCATTCTGTTCCAGACACCACACTTCCCACCAGACTCTGACCTCCTTCTGCAGGCGGCCAGCACCTACCACCGGTTCCTGACCTGGCCCGTCCCTTACTGCAGCATCTGCCAGGAGCTACTCACCTTCATCGATGCTGAACTCAAGGCTCCAGGTGAACAGTGAGGCCACTGGCTGGCAGAGCAGAGGGTGGGCAGGGTTTGAACGGTCTCAATGCTTCCAACTCCTCCAGCCGCTCCATGGCTGGGACCTCTCTCTGCCTTGCTGCCTTCACTCCATCTCTTCCCGTGTCCTGGGTTCGAATGTTGGGAGTCTGCTGTTCGTCACGGTGGGACCCAGTATCAGGTAGCTGAGTCTATGCAAGTGGAGAGCCATTTGAGTGGCAGGTAACTCGAAGAGGAGATCGCAAGGGAAACTGAGGAAGCCTTTAGGGCTAAGGGATTCCCACCACGTAAGCTGTGCCTCTCTTTAGCTAGCCAGGCATCTCTGAGACTGCCTAGATGAGACAAGAAAAGCCTTCAGAAAATGGACAAGAGGCCTGTCCCGTCCAGCAGGACAGTCAATGGGGGTCGCAATCACCTAGGAGAGAATGAAGGGGACAAGAGACACGAAGAATGGACAGCAAGACAGGATGTCTGATCAAGCTGTCAGTTTATTGATTTTAATTGAGGGTTTTTATATACTTCTGTAACTAAGGCTCAGGGAGGAAAGGAGAAACTAGGACGCAAGCCATGGTCTCCAGACCGATTGTTCTTGAGCAGCCACCATATCAACCATAGTAACCAACATATCAACAATAGCATAGGTAATCAGTAACAAGATGTCGGCAGGTACAGCATAAATCACATTCTGAAACAGTTGCTATAAACAATTGAAGCTAAGCGTGTGTTTAGTTTCATAACTTCTTTCCCAAGCATCTAGCCAGCCAGGGGTTTTCCACTGGCCCACAGTTCTATATTCAAAATGGCTTCAGTGTGGCTACAGTACACGGCTCCTGACAGAGGCCCTCACTTATTCTCTTTGTCCGAGAGGTAAATGGGACATTGCATGTATGGGTTTGAATCAGTTCTGGGGTCTGGGGAAGGTGGCTGGGGCTGGGAACTGACAGGTGGATGGTGCCATGATGGAATGAGGACAAGGGTTTGGGGACTGAGTTTCCATAAGGTGGGATCTGAAAAGCAGGCATTCTTGGAAAATGACACAGGCTGTTACAGTCCTGGGAAGGAGGTTTGAGAAAACTATAGTAGAGCAAGAGAAAACTTGCTTGAACTAAAGTTTATTGAGCAGCGAATCTCATTGTAATTCATGACCTGAGTTGCTCAGTCACCCAGTGTCCCCGTCGATGCCTCTAAGACATGAAATACCCATTCCTGGTAGTCACTGCTCCTCAGAAAATGAAAGCCATTCAGAAATAACAGTTTTTAACATGGCAGCGGCTTAAGGCCATTACTGAATTCATGACAGCCGGTGATCTTCCTCTTTTTTTTTTGGTTATAGATATTTTACCTATGCAAAACAAAACAGTAAATAGTTCCTCTTCTGCTGAAGATGAAATTTTCATTATTTGGAGTTCACAGAATTATGTATCTATTATGATGTAGTGACGCATTCAAAGGAAGATCCATCAGAGACAGGGGACGGGTAACATGGGGTTTTCCTAGACACCAACATTAACCAGTAAGACAGCATAGAGAAGGAAAGTAGCCATTCACCACAGCAACTACACTGGATTTGAAAATGTGGGGCTGAGTGCACCCTGTACCTGGAGATGTTTTGGGGGCAGCTGGGCAGCTAGAATTCAGAGCTGGATGGTGAAGCCCAGGCTGTGACAGAAGGGGCGGCGAAGCCGGGACCAAGAACAGGTGTTACAGCTGCTGGCAATGAACTCACAGCATGAGGTCCTGTGGCTCCAGAGCAAGGGAGGACCCTGGGAACCCATCACTGACTGCCAAGGGCTTCTCTTCAGCATTGCGGCCCAGGACCAAGGGAGGCCTCAGTTTTCTGATGGCTGAGGGGAAGGGCAGGGATGTGCAGGTCTAGTTGCTTGTGCCAGGAACCTCACCTGCCTGTGTGCCACCTGGGGATGGGTCAGTCCCGAAGTGCTTTCGTGTGATTGCTGGTGATAGTGCTTCCCAAGACGCTCCCAGTCATGCTCATTGTAGGCTGGGGTGTGGAGGGCAGTGGGACATAGAGGGCTCGCGGGGAGCCCTGGACGCTGGAGCCCTTTGAGGCCACTGGGCCTTCGGAGCCTGGGTCAGCTACTCCCTTGCAGGGGTGGAGAGGGAAGATTTCAGCAGGAAATTGGACATCTGTCAGCCTCCGTCTCCTAGGCTGTAAAATGGGAGCCTCATCATGTTGCCTTCTGGCTGTTCCGGAGGCCTCACACTGGAGGTGTGGCTGAAGGCTGTGGGCATTGGGGTGCTGTTAACCTGAGAGATGCGTGCTTTAAGAATCAACAGGGAGAAAATGATAAGGAACTGGGCCCTCCACCACCCGTGGAACCTTAGGGACCCGTTGCCATGGAGACCGTGGCTAGTGGCAGAGGAAGTGGGCTAGTTATCAAGCCTGGAGGATGCAGAGGGTGGGGGCGCCCCTCCTCCTTCCTGACTCTGCCTCCAGCAGGGTGGCCTACTGTCTGCACCCTGGCTGGGTAGGGGGATGGGTAGGGGGATGGGGGAGCCAGGCAGGAAACCCTCCTGGGTTCAGCCCACATGTTCATGGAGTATTTACTCCAGGCTGGCCCAGCTGTGCAGACCACAGCACTTACCTGCCAAGCTTGTATCTGTCTCTCCGGGGGTGCATGGGGGGCAGGCAGTGAACAGTGAGCATCTTCTGGGTGAGTCACTCTGAAGTTTACAAAGCATACAGCCTCGGGAGGACATCTCCCCCAGACCGCAGCCCTGCAGGGGAGAAGGGAATACAGCAGCATTCCTACTTCAGATGTGAAAGACGCAGTACAGTTCAGCATCTCTTGGCCACGCTACAATGTCAGGTGTGAGAAAGGCAGCAAGAACCAACACTGTGACTTAGTTTCCTCATCCAAAGCACAGGGCAGGCATCCTCACCGTGGGCATGTGTGGGAGTATTTCCGCCCAGAGCCAACTCCTGCAGGATGATGGCAGCGACCGCTATGCACCCTTGGTCTTCAGAATGAGCTGTTCTGTGCAAAGGGGGCCCTCTACTGGTAATTAAAAAAAAAAACAGTGGAGGCTGAGATGGACAGATCAGACTGCATGGCGAAAGGGTCTTGTATACTTGGACAGTGAGTTTGAGTTTCACCGGGAGTATTTACTGCACACTCACCTATTGCTGGGACCCCTTCTTTGCCCGCGACAAGGCTTCTCTTCAGCTCTTGGGCAACTCTGGACTAAGACTCGATCCCAAAACATTTCCATCTTTTCTAAGGTAGACACGGAAAGGTGTGATCCAAGTGCAAAGGGACCAAGAGGCACCTGTTGACCCACAGCACCTCCTCCTCCTGCGTGCAGCTTCCCTAAGGCAGAAGTGGAGGGAGGAGTTAAGGACTGTGTTGGAGTAATCCCTCTTAGTTGTGGCATTCTTGGAGTCACCTGGTAACCTTGATAAACAAGGTCCCTAAGCTGTGCAGGTTGAGAGGCGTGTCCAGCCTCACAGTACCCACCTGCCAATGTGGCATTAGTTATCCAGTCTCTAAGGCTGGTTCAGACAGTTTGCACAAATGTTTCTAGGACCGAAGCCCAGCCACATGGCATCGTCTTTCTCATTCATCTTGTCTATTTGCCATCTAATTCCAGCACACCTCACACTGCATGGCTTGCCTCAGAGTCCGTCACCATGTCAGGCTGAAGGGGCTGGGGAGAAATGCTGGGCCTTTCAGGGTGGGATCAGGGAGTGTCATCTGACCTGTGCTATGCGTGGAGACTGCTGGGGTCTCAGACAATCCAGCAAGAGCCCATCAGCTTGGAGAACAACCCTTTCCAGGTCAGGCAGTGCCAGGAGGTCAAATGTCCCAGGTGTCACCCAGGAATGCAACACAGTGAGACAGACAGTTGCAGAATCCATGTGGCTTGTCTAAAGCAGACACAGGCCCCAAGCGAGAATACTCAGGTGTCCCAGGATACACAGATGTTTGAGAATGTTCCTTGTGGGGGAAAGCACTAGTTTCTGTGAGAAAGCTGCCCACGGTACTAAATATTCCAAACATCAAAAGCTTAAGGACAGTGGGATGGGTGAAACACTTGAGTTTTGGGGGACTGGGAAAATATTGATAAGTTTTGATGGGGATGTTGAGGGACAGGTTCAGGGGTTGGGGAGCTGACACCTGGGCATTTTAGAAAGAACCAGACGTCGAGGGAGAGTGACTGCCCGTCTGGAGTGTCACCGGCTTCATGTCCTGGGGCCAATAGAGACAGAGTTGAGGATGAATTGAGGTCAGTGGGGTGTGGGAAAACCCGCTAGAAACAGCAGATAGCACAGGAGAAGGGTCATGGCAGATGGTACTTAATAATGTGTTTTGTGGTTGGGGAGGCTGGGGCACTGGGGACATCCAATTGTTTCCAGTGCAGAATTACACTGGGGAAGCTCCTCTGGGTAGGAGGGGAAATTTTTCTCTGTAATACATGGGAACAGCCACTAGATGGTGGGCCAGGTCCGGATAGTCATTGCTACTCTTAATGTGGTGGGACCTGGCAGAGCCACTAAAGGGGGGAAGGGGGCGATTTGGGGAATTGGAGGTGAGGTCATGGCGTGGCAGCAGCCCTGGTGAGCAGTCGGGAGACCCTGGTTCTCCCTGTAAACCACAGGAACTTGAGCCTGGTCATCTAGAGCCCAGCTCGACACAGTTGCTGTAAGGCATGTGTGGGCCCTGAACTCTTTCTTCGTTTTTTTGGCCCACAGGAATCTCCTACCAGCGCCTGGTGAGGGCGGAGCAGGGCCTGTCCGTCAGGAGCCATCGCAGTTCCACCGTGTGAGTGCCCTGGGGTGGGACACAGTGGGCAGGACCTCCACCCTCTCACCCTACCCCCACCCTGATTCCCATGTGGCATACACTCCACCACTGCACACATACACATGTGCAAACATAATACACGTGTATAAGCCCCTCCCTTCCCCGGCCCGAGGGGCTGTTTCACAGCCGCAGCCACAGAGCCGACCTTGCTTGGGTGCCTTCTAGGAAAAACAAAACCAAACACCATCACATAGTAGACGTTGAGTGACATGAACCGGACATGGTGGGCAGGAAGAGGGAGGAAGCCAGGCACACGTGTGCACCCCTCCCTGCGTAGGAATGCTGGTTGTCATAACAACCTTGGAGTCCCTAGGAAAGATGTCCCCCTGTGAGTGCAAAGGTCAGGGTCAGCCCTTGCCATGTCACCCTCACACAATGAGGGTCTCTGAAGTCCCAGGCCACCCTGCCTGGCAGCACATGGGTCACCCTGCTCCCTACCACCTCCTGAACTGCATCACCTAAACTGCACCCCAAACTGCAACCCCCTTTGAGAAATGCTGTCTGCTCAGATATTCCCCTCTTGGAGAAAGAATTCTGCTTCTCCCTGCTGCTCTCTTACTGGCACCGACGCTGGCTCAGGCCATACCTACCTTGGCTGGGAAAGGTGGTGCAGGTCTCGGGATAAGGTGGGGTAGGGTGGGGATCGCTGAGCACATAGGGGCAGGCCAGGGCGGTGTGGCTGTCCAGCCCCGGGGACCATTGCCAACCCTCTGTGCCCCCAGCACGGTGCTGTTGCTGAATCCTGTGGAGGTACAGGCTGAGTTCCTCGCTGTGGCCGACAAGCTGAGCACACCTGGGCACTCGCCCCATGGCACCTACATCACCCTGCTTCTGCATGCCTTCCAAGCCACCTTTGGGGCCCACTATGACATCCCGGGCCTGCACCGGAGCCTGCAGGTAGGGACCCCACTCCCCTAAGCCAGCTCTGTGTCAGTACCATGACTCGAAACGACACAGCAGAGTGGATGCTGGGTTCTAGTGGTACCTAGGCCATAGACAGGGTACTGGGATCTGAGGCCTTAGAATATGGCACCTGTCACACATTCGCATGGGAATAAGCTTTGCACTTCTCCTCCAGGCCTTTCTGTCCTGGCCATCTCTGAGAAAGGGTGCAGAGTGGGGCCTGGCTCACTGATCAACTGTGAGTGGAGGAGGGAATGAAGCCAGGGACAGGGCAGACCCTGGGAGCTGGAGAAGGCTAGTGGCCAGGCCGTGAGACCAGGGCAGATCCCATCTTCCCTTGGGGTTTCAGTCCAAGACCCTGGCCGAGCTGGAGGACATCTTCACGGAGACCACAGAGGCACAGGAGCTGGCCTCTGGCATTGGGGATGCAGCCAAGGCGCGGCAGTGGCTCAGGACCAAGCTGCAGGCGGTGGGAGAAAAAGCCGGCTTCCCTGCGGTCTTAGGTGAGGTTCTTGGGGGAAGGGAACCTCTCCCCACCTGCCCCCTTGCCCATTCTTGTTTCCAAGGTGTGCAGACCGTGTTGGCCTGGCAGCTCCACTTCTCACAGTTTTCAGCCCCTTGTCACTCCATCCCCTGGGACATCTTCAAATCCACGGGGTTAAGGTTGTTCAGTGGCTTGTGGGGTCAGAAGAAGGGTGCTCACTGGAGACCAGGGGGAGCTTGAGGTTTTTGTTGCAGAAGCATCAGGGGCAGGTGCTGCAACACCTGTTCTGGTCTCAGTTCCTCTATTTCTCACTCTGCTTCCTGCTAACATGCCTGAGAGGCAGCAGCAGATGATAACCCAAGTACTTGGAGCCAGAGACCTGGATGAATTCTGGTCTCAGCCTGGCCTAGCTGTCGCCATTGCAGGAGTCTGGGACCGTGAACCCAAAATGGAAGATCTCTCCCCTTCTGACTCTGTCACTCTGCCTTTCAAATATATTTTAAGATGCTGCAGGTGAGCTGGCATTGTGACGATTCAGGCTAAGCATTTGCCTGTGAGGCCAATCTAGCCCCTTGCTAAAGGGCCTGGGAAAGCAGCAGTGCATGGCCCAAGTACTGGGGCCCCTGTACCCACCTCATGGACCCCAAAGAAGCTCCTGGCTTCTGTCTAGCGCAGCCCCCAGCCATGCCAGCCATTTGAGGAATGAACCACTGGATAGAAGATCTTTTTTAGTCTTTTCTAATTCTGCCTTTCAAATTATTTAAAACATGTTTTTTTTTTTTTTAAAAAAAAAGGAAGATAGAAAGGAGGAAAAAAAGAGAGAGGGAGAGAGAAAGAAAGGAAAGGAAGGAAGGAAGAAAATCTACAGAAAATGCGCTCATCATTTCATATCTTCGCCCTGGGATCCAGTTGAGTGACATGGCCACATAGTGTCCGTCCCAAAGGAAACTCGCCTTGGAAGAATGGAGGACAGACTACTTTTTTTTTTTAATTTTTAAATATGTGCTTATTTAAAAGGCAGAGTAACTGAGGGAAAGTTAACAGGCAGGGAACTTCCACCTGCTGATCCACTCCTCAAATGGTCTAACAGCCACGCTAAAGCCAAGATACAGGTCTCCCACGTGGGTGGTAGGAATCGGAGAACCTGGGCCATCGTCTGCTGCCTTCGCAGCTGCATCAGCAGGGAGCTGGATTGGGAGTAGAACAACCAGGCCTTGAACTCGTGCCCATGTAGGACGCCGATGCTACAGGTGACAGCTTTAGCCGCCTGTGCCACAACACCAGCTCTGGAGCTCAGAGCTGAAGGAACAATGAGCAGTCCTCCGTGGCAGCATTCCTTATAGAAATCTTAGCAAATGGAACAGGTTTCCCCCATTCCCCGCCCCAATACCACCACCAAATGAGGCACAAAGGAAGTGAACTTGACCACAACTGCCCTGCTGGTGAAGGGCACAGTGTCCACAGGGTCTGCTGGCTGGGAACCAAGTCCCCCTTCCACCACACCACCACTCTGCTGTGTGGGCTCGGGCAGGCCCCTTCCCAGTTCTGGTCTCAGCCCCCTAGGAGCACAGACCCAGCCTTTCATCAGAGTTGCTTCTCTTCCTGTCCTTACAGACACTCCCAGAGCCGGGAAGCTGCGCACCATCCCCCTCCCAGTTGCCAGGTGCTACACCTACAGCTGGAACCAGGATAGCTTTGGTAAGGGACCAGCTGGGACCCTGGGAACACCCCACCCCTGTGAACCTGCCACCTGGGCAGACTCAGGCCAGTGCTGAGTCCTGGGCTGACCACCCTCCTGCTCCCCCACTTCCAGAAGCCTGTTAGTGGGGGTTGTTATCCTGCTAAGGGTGTGTGCAAGAGAGGCTCAAAGGCCCAGATGCCCAAACCCTGCTGCCACTTGCTTTCCCACAGACATCCTACAGGAAATCCTGCTCAAGGAACAGGAGCTGCTGCAGCCAGGGATCCTGGGGGACGACGAAGAGGAGGAAGAAGAGGAAGAGGAGGAGGAAGAGGAGGATCTGAAAGCAGACGGACATTGTGCTGAAAGGGACTCTCTGCTGTCCACCAGCTCTTTGGCCTCCCACGACTCCACCCTGTCCCTGGCCTCCTGCCAGACCTCAGGGCCAGCCTTGTCCCAGCACCTGCTGACCTCGTTCGTGTCGGGCCTCTCAGATGGCATGGACAGCGGTTATGTGGAGGACAGCGAGGAGAGTTCCTCAGAGTGGCCCAGGAGGCCCAGTGGTAGCCAGCAGCGCCGGAGCCAACGCAGGCCTGGGCAGAAGTTTAACACGATCTACAGGTTCTTTAAGACCACCAGCCAGTTGGTGCTACGAAGGGACTCCCGGAGCCTGGAGGGCAGCCCGGACTCTGCCGTACCCCTACGGCGGGCAGGGAGTCTCTGCAACCCCTTGGACAGCCCCGCCACGCCCCCATCCCGAGCCCAGCGCTCTCGCTCCCTGCCCCAGCCCAAGCTCGACCCTCAGCTGCCCAGCTGGCTCCTGGACTCTGCCGCCACCCCACGTCCCCAGCGCCGCCGCCCCTTCTTAAGTGGCGACGAGGACCCCAAGGCTTCCACGCTCCGTGTTGTGGTCTTCGGCTCCGATCGCATTTCGGGGAAGGTGGCACGAGCCTACAGCAAACTCCGGTAAGGGTGGTGGTCTGGGCATGGCTCTGTTCCCCCAACTCCAGGGTCCGGGGAATGCTGCCAGGGGCCTGAGCCTGCAAGTGCACACAGGGACTGAGGGTTCCTCCCTTCTCCTCTCACTTACTTCTTGTCACCAGGAGACTGGAGAGCAGCTGCCCACTCCTCACACGGTTCTTCAAGTTGCAGTTCTTCTACGTGCCGGTGAAGCGCAACCATGCCACCAGCCCTGGCACCTGCCCAGCCCCTCGGAGCCAGACTCCCCCCCTGCCCATGGACTACCCGAGGCACCCCAACCCTGCAGTATGTCCCCGAGCCCCCAGGCCTAGAGTGCACCTAAGCGAGCCACTGCCTTCCCAGAGGACGCGGTTTGGGGGGATATCAGCAGCAGCCACTTCCCACTGCCTCCATCTACAGCTGGGAGGGACATTTGTCCAAAGTCACATACTGAAAGCTGCCAGACTTCCCCCAGGGCAGGGAGAGACTCAGCATAGAACTACAGGGAATAACTCCGCTCCCCTCACCCCTGCCCCAGGAACTGGGCCCAGCCCCGTGGGAGGAAAGCACCAATGACATCTCCCACTACCTCGGCATGCTCGACCCCTGGTATGAACGCAACGTGCTGGGCCTCATGCACCTGCCCCCGGAAGTCCTATGCCAGGTAGGTGACCCCTGGCAGCCTCATGCAGAAGAGCTCTGGGGGTAGAGCAGGCAGGGTATGTGAGAAGCAGGATGGGGCCTGAATCTGGACAGGGACCCAGAGGCATGATCCTTCAGAAGGGGTGGAGGACATGGGATTTCCCTGCAGTTCCTGGCTTGTCCAGCTCTGCCAGGTGAGGGAGGTGTGGAGGCCAGGCCACGGGCCTCCATATCCCCCAGTCTCTCATGTACTCTTTTTCCCACACTGTGGCCACCATCCCGGGGCACAGCAGTCCCTGAAAGCTGAGCCCCGGCTGCTGGAGGGCTCGCCAACCCAGCTGCCCATCCTGGCTGACATGCTGCTCTACTATTGCCGCTTTGCCGCCCGGCCAGTGCTGCTGCAGGTCTATCAGACAGAGGTATAACCCACACATACATGCCACCTTTGTCCCCAGGCTCCAGGGCAGCAATGCCCAGGTGCCAGCCTGGATCCTGCTGGGCTTGCCAGCTACACTCCCCTACCCCTACACCCCCACCATGGAGCCAGCAACCCCTGCCTGATGCACCCTGGTAACCTCTCCAGCTGACCTTCATCACTGGGGAGAAGATGACAGAAATCTTTATCCACTCCCTGGAGCTGGGCCACTCTGCCGCCACACGGGCCATCAAGGCTGCTGGTGGGTACTGCCTAAGCCCCAGGCAGAGAAAGGCAGGGGCGGGGCTTAAAAAAGTGGAGCCTGGAAGGAGGAGTTACGGGGGAAGCGGGAACCTAGGAAAGTGGATCCTGGGGAGGAGGGACCTAGGGAGGCAGGGCGTGGAAGTGGAGCCATGGCATCTGTGGGCAGGACTGAAGGAGCTCTCTGTATGGTACAGGCCCTGGCAGCAAGCGGCTGGGCATTGATGGCGACAGGGAAGCCATCCCTCTAACACTACAGATACGTTACAACAAGGTAAGACTGCCTCGTGGCTCAGCCTTCCTCCACCAGACCTAGACTCTTACATCTGTACCCGCCATGCTGAGGCTGGCAGGCTGTAACAGGCTTCTGAGACCTCTGACTCTCCCTGCCTTCCACTCCACCAATTGGGTGCTGAGCAAGGGAGGCAGAGGGACAGAATGGACCCCTCTGCCCCCTGGGCTCCAGAACCACCCTACACACACACACACACACACACACACACACACACACACACTGAGGCAGCAGGCACAGCACTGGGCTAAGCAGGTAGGCTGTGCTGTCTTTGCAGGGGGTCATCAGTGGACGGAGTCGCTGGATTAACCTGGAGAAGGTCTGTACTTCCGTCAATCTCCACAAGGCCTGCCGGAAGCAGGAGGAGCTAGGTGAGCCGGGTGGGCTGAGGAGTGGGGTGGGGTGGGGCAGGGAGGAGAGCTGAGCTGACCTGATCCCACCTTGCCCATCAGACTCTAGCATGGAGGCTCTGACGCTGCACCTGACAGAAGTGGTGAAACGGCAGAACCCCAAATCCAAGAAGAGCTTTAACCAGGTGAGGGCGGGCCTCACCTTCCTAAAGCCATGCCTGCAGGGGACCTGGGAGAGTGTGTGTGCCTGCCTGTGTGTGTGTACATGGTGTGGCCACACACACGTGCATGTATGTGGCTAGCACATGTGTGTGACAGACACAGAGGAGTGTTCACAGTGGGGCTTGTAGAGGGAGAGACGGGGCAGGGTGAGGTGTGAGATTTGGGGTGTGCGTGGGTATGGAGTGTTGCAGTGTTGACCAGAGAGGGTGCCCTGTACGTGAAGGCTGTGTGATGGGTGCTGGGAGAACCCTGAGTTGTATACTGGAGTCCCGGGGCTCTCACTGTGGTAGGTGGGCCAGGGAAATCTCTTTAAGGGAGCAACTTGCTTCTTCCAGATTCAGAGAAGGGCAGGGGACAGAGAGGAGGCAGGGTCTGCTGAACCATTCCTTCCCTCCCTCCACCCCCTCTGCCCCACTGCCCTGCTCTGGTTATCATCCCTGGAGAGAGCCGCTAGCCTAATTCCTGCCTTTGGCCCCCTTGGCATCCCCAGACAGTTCCGAGGGAGGGAACTGGTGCTGTGTCCCTGGGGCCTCCTTGGCTGACATGGGCGAGGCCTCCCCTGCAGATTAGCACGTCGCAGATCAAGGTGGACAAGGTGCAGATCATTGGCTCCAGCAACTGCCCCTTCGCCGTGTGTCTAGACCAGGACGAGAGGAAGATCCTGCAGAGCGTGGTCAGGTAGGGAGCGGGATGGAGGCTCCCTGCGGGCAAAGGGGCAACTCAGTCTCCGCTCACCCACCTCCTAGATCTGGCAACAACTGGAGGGATGGGGCTGCCTGCCCTCCCTCACCCTGTCATGGTCCACAGGTGTGAGGTTTCTCCCTGCTACAAGCCGGAGAAGAGCAGCCTCAGCCCCCCACCCCCAAGGACCCCCGACCTGCCATCCCAGGCTACTACACATGACCTCTGCTCCCTCCTCTGCCTGCCCATCATGACCTTCAGTGGAGCCCTGCCCTAGCGGGACCCTGGCAACAGACTGAACTGGAAGCCTGGAGGCCAGCCTCTCTAAGTGGCCGTGTGACCGAGGTGGATGATTTCTCTGGGGCTTCAGGGATCTGGGAAAGAAATGGGCCTTAGTAGGGAACGGGGCGTGGCCATGGAGCTGCTGCGCTAGAGAGGCATGGATGAGCTGGTCTGGAACCCTTCCTAGAAGGAAGATCTGAAGCTGTGGGCTCCGGATCCGGTTTAGCTCTATTTTCCCAACCCTTGCCCGGTTAAACATGTTGAGGGTGAACTCAGAGTAGGGAGCTTCTCGGCGGGGAGAGCTGGGCCTGATGTTTCCTTCCTTCCTGAGCTTTGGTCCCACCACCATCCTGCCCCCCTGCCGACTTCCTCCCTGATTCCCCGAGAAGCAGCACTAAAGCCTGGCCTGGCCACTGGCAGGACCTGGTGCCCATCACTGGCCTGAATTCCGCAGCGGTTCATTTACTAAGTGACCTGAGGATGGCCGTGAACTTCATTGAGCTTCTATGTCCTCAGCACTAAAATGGAAGAGGAGGAGGCAAGACTTCCTTCCTGGGGGAGAAGTGCCTCACCCCACCCCCCTGAACATGGATGTTGCTTTTCTTTAGGCACTTGGGATCCTCTCACTTCTTTGAATACTCCATAGTCACTTGTTCCCCAGCAGAACCCTGACAAAAGGGGTTAGAAGCTATGAAAGGGGCCTTCCCAGGGAGGCCTCTTCTTGATCAAGGTCAGGGTTGGGTGGCTCAGGCCCTCCATCCAGCTGGCCCCAGTGCCTACCACTTGCTGTCTCAGTCTTTGAGCTGGGGCACCTCTATGCAGACTCCTGCATCCCAACCAAGCTCACTGGCACTGTGTGGTCCGAGAAGAGCCCAGTGCAATGGAGGATGGAATGGCTGAGCTCACACTCTTAGGGCCTAACTCGAGAAAAACAGACTCCTGCCTGGGGCACAACGAGCACATGGCAGCGCCTGAGGTTAAAGGTTGAAATGATTTTGAGTTGCGGGATACAGATGTAGGCGAGGGTGATGAGATAAATGACAGGACCAGAATGTGGACTGACTGATAGAGACATCAAGTTAGGTCCTGCGTGGGCCAGTCCTACCTCCTGCTGGCCCTTCCTGCTATCCTGGGCTGGGAAGAGCTGAGGATCCCCAGCCCACAGTGCAGGTGTCTTGGAGAAGTGGATGGGGCCTCTCTGTCCCAGCCCTTTGTTCTTGCTCCAGGCTGCAGAACAACAGGGGTTAACTATGTACCTCCAGTACTTTGTGCTGTGTGCGTGGATTGTCTGACCCAAGGACCTGATGGATGGGATGGAAGATGATTGTCAAATAAACATGGACTTGACCTCTGGGTAACAGCCTACAGTTGTTTTTTCATATCACGGTGACCTATTGTACTATTTACATATTTCATACATAGCAGAAGTAAGGCTTTTGAGGGGAAGATGATTGACCTTTTTGTGATTTTGCACTCAATAGGAAAGGTATTGGTGTTAACATCTCCCTAGTAGTTCTGCAGAAGTGTCACCCTGTTGACCCGCAGAGCAAAACGCCCTGGACAAAAGGACTCTACAGTTGGGCTGCCTGTACCAACTCCACTTAAGAGCGGTAAACCCATATATCCAGTAGCTCCCTAGGCCACAAGCCCCAAGGATGGGGGTTGCAAGGGTGGGATGGGACTAACCCTGGACCTGCTACGCAGCTAAGAGGAAGGGATGAGAGCTCCAACAATGGCCCTCTGGGTCCAAGGCTGCTCTGCAACTCAGATGGCGCAGAGAGGGAGGAAAGGAAGTGGGGGGCGGCGAGGACACCTGTGACTTGGGACAGGAAGGTGAGCCCATGGCTGGCAGAAGAACCACCTAGGATGGGGGTGGATGGAGATGCCACTGTAGCTCCAGCATAGTCTGTGGGGCATACCTGGAGATACACCTGTAATTCAGTAGACAAACTCTGGTGACTTAGGGTTGCTTGAGCATCTACAGGGCAGCGAGGAATCACCTAATCTTGGGCAATGTCAAGAAATTCAGAGCCAAGCTGTAGGTGGGGCTCCTTTCTGCTCTGTGGGTCTGTCTGGCACCTCAGGACCAGGGTGCCAAGAGAGGAGGGGGCAAGCAGGGACATCAGAAGCCTCCTGGGGCTAGCACCTGGAGATAGACCAAGATTTCTTCTGCCAGTACTCTCATGGCCCGAACCAACGAAGCTCCTCACCGCCATGGATTTGATAAGCTCAGCAAATCTCACACCAGATAAAGTAAGAAAAGCCCTCTCATTGTCCATAACCATGGTCTAACCGGGGAATATTCTATCAGAAACCCTGAACAGTCCTGGAGACTGTCAGGGTTGTAAAAATCAAGGAAAAGACTGAGAAACGGCCTACTAGAGGAAAATGAATTCCGCATGGCACCCTGAATTGGATCCTCAAACAGGAAGAAGGCATTAATGGAAAAAACAGTGACATTCCAATATGATCCTAAAGACAACCTGAAGAATATAAGGATCACTTTGTCTTCAAGGTGTCAACAGTTGAATTGAGAACTCCCTTCTCAAACAGTGGAGGTCAGAAGACCACAAAATGACTTGTTCTAAAGTGCTAGTTAAAAACTCCTGCCTAGAAGGAATGCTGTGTGGCACAGTGAGTTAAGCTTCCACATGTGGTACCAGCATCCTCTTGGGTGCCAATTTGAGTCCAGGCTGCTCCACTTGCTATCCAGCTCCCTGCTAATATGCTTGGGAAAGCAGTGGAGGATGCCCCAAGTCCTTCAGTTGCTGTACCAACATGGGAAATCTAGAGGAGGCTCCTGGCTCCTGGCCTCTGCTTGCCTCAGCCCCAGTCATGGTGGCCATTTGACCTTTAAAAACAAGACCACCAAGGGCCCAGCATGGTGGCCTAGCAGCTAAAGTCCTCACCTTGAGCGTGCCGGGATCCCATTTGGGCACTGGTTATAATCCCAGTATCCCCGCTTCCCATCCAGCTCCCTGCCTGTAGCCTGAGAAAGCAGTCAAGGATGGCCCAAAGCCTTGGAATCCTGCACCCATGTGAGAGACCTGGAGGGGGTTCCTGGCTCCTGGATTCGGATCGACTCAGCACCAGCGATTGCATTCACTTGGGGAGTGAACCATCGGACGGAAGATCTTCCTCTCTTGTCTCTCCTCCTCTCTGTATATCTGACTTTGCAGTAAAAATGAATAAATCTTAAAAAAACCAAAACCACCAAAAGATTTATGTATATATATAATGCTATCATACTCATCAAAAGACTTAAAAAGCATTAGAAAGGTCAGACACATCTGTGGAAGGGTCAGGGATCAGTTCAACAGTAAGAAATTTATGTGCACCAAAAAACATGGTTTTAAACAATATCAAGCAAAATTGACATGATTAGAGCTTTATATAGCCACAGTGGAAGATTTTATTGTACCTCTCTCAGTAGCCGATAACTAGAAAGGAAAAAACTATAGAGATATAATCTGCACAACATAATTAGCAAGTTTGCTCTCATTGAACATTGTGCCTAAGTGCAGCAGAATTCACATTCAGTGCAAACGGTGTCATATTTCAAGTGATAGGAATCATATGTTCACTGGCTATGATATAAATGTTCAACCCCATTTTTGAGTCTTAAGCACTACACTTCTAAATAACCCAAGGCTCAGAAAGCAAGTGTGAATGGAAACTAGACTTTTTAAATTGTTATTATTTTATTTTTTTATTTGAAAGGCAGATTTTCAGTGAGAGAAGAAGAGACCTCTCCCATCTGCTGGTTCGCTCTTCAAATGTCTGCAGTGGCTAGAGTTTGGCCAGTCCAAAGCCAAGAGCCTGGTGCTTCTTCTGGGTCCAGGTACCAAAGCACTTGGGCCATCCTCTACTGCTTTACCAGGTGTGTTAGCAGGGAGCTAGATTGGAAGTGTAGCAGCTGGGACTTGAACCAGTGGGACTTGAATGGGATGTTGGCACCACAGGCAGCAGCTTAACTGGCTGCACCAGTGCTGACTCTGGTATATCAACTTAAGGAAACTGGAAGAAGGCAAATCAATGCAAGAGCCGAATCATTGAGTTAGGAAGCTAGCATAGTAACTGGTAAAGCCACTGGCGAAATGAGAGGCAGTGAAGTAGGAGTAGCAGGTGGAGGGAGAAGGAATTACCAGCGTCATGAGGGAGACAGACGCCCTCACCCTTCAGACTTTGAAGCGATAACAGAATGTCACAGATAACTGCACACAGAAATCTGACAATGTGGATAAAATGGAGAAGTTGCTTAATCTGACGGAGGAGATGGAAATTCTGAGTAACTCTTGTCCTTGCTTCTATGCAGGTAAGGCTTTGTCCCCTCGGGTTTATTTCAGGATTGTCTGTAATGGGAGAGACTGTGCAGGTTCCAATGCTTGGCTGTTTGTTCTTGGTGTACTCAGAACTTCCTGGATGTGTGGTTGGGTGTCAGTCACTCATTTTGGGGAATTCTTAATCACTGTTGTTTCACACACTTCCGTAACTTTCTCCTTCTGGGAGTGTCATGACATGCGTGTAACACTTTCCATGGTTTCCCACTGGGATTGGGGCATCGTGTTTGGTTTGTTCAGTCTTTTTTTTCCTGTTTGCCTTTCTGTTTGGGGAGTTTTCATTGATACTTCTTCCAAGTCTCAAGTTCTTTTTCTGGTGATGTCCAATTTGTGGGAGCAGCTATCAAAGGCATTCTTGATTTCTATCACATTGTTTTTGTCTGTTCTTAAAGATTTATTTAAAAGGCAGAGGTAGAGAAAGAGAGAGAGAGAATTATCTCTCTCGGCCACTGGTTCCCTCCCTAGATGACCACAACATCCAGGGCTGAACCAGGCGGAGGCCGAGAGCCAGGAGTACCATCCGAGTCTCCCACGTGGGTTCCAGGGACTCAAGTGTTTGGACCATCTTCTGCTGTGTGTATTAGCAAAGAGCTGGATCAGAAGTGGAGCAGCTAAATTGCTTACTGGCATTCTTGTATAGGATTGCCAGAGCCACTCAGACAGTAGCTACACCCTCTATGCCATAGCACTTAGCCCTATTACAATGGTTTTTATTTCATTTTGATTTTTCCATACTGTTTCCACATCTCTGCTAGCATTACCCTAACATGTTTTCATCTGGTGTCAGTAACATAATCATTTCATTCTTTTAAGGACCCACTCCAGTTGTTCCAAAATCCCTGCCATACCCTGGTCTGCATGCTCATTCTAGCCCCCTATAAATTGATATACTTTTTTTTTTTTAATTTGGAAAGCTGGGAACATCTTTTAGGAGCCCTTGTGACCAGCCTGTTGAGATATTTGAAAGAAATGAAATTCATTGGGTGTTTAGCATGAGGTAGTATGTGTGTCTGGCTGGGAGTCAGATTGTGTGTGCTCTTGGCTAGAACCGTCAGTGTCAGAGGCCCAAAGTTTTCATTACTGCCCCTCATTGGATGGCCTGCTGCCCAGGATCCCGAGTGGGGAGTGTGGAGAAGGGAAGTGCTCTGTCATCTACTGATGGGGTCTCAGGTTTGCAGGTAGCCTGTGTCGCTGCACAGTGACCTCCCTGAGTGCTGCTCCATTTGGAGCTCCCCGAGGTGGCACAGGATGGCTCAGGGAGATGAAAGTTGGGCATTTCCCTCCCCCCTGAGCGGTATGGTCTTGGGTAAGACCCCATTGGGTTAGACTCTGGTGCAACTCTGCGGGCAGGCCTCTGGGCAGATCTCAGAGCAGCTGCTTCCCTCCATTTTGTCTTCTGTGCATGACCCCATGGGGTGCTTGGGGTGCCACTGGGATGCGTGAGCCCAGGCTTGTCTGCATGGAGCTCCCAACGCTCATCGATGACCACATTGAGTTTTGTGACCCCGGATCTAGCTCCCATGGAGGCATCAGCTCATGGGCTGCTCTTCTGCTGCGTTGTGTGGCTCCATTCCTGCCTGTGGGTCCCGTCCAGTTCTGAAGTGATGATTCATCCTGATTCTACAGATTTCTGCTGGAGCTAAGGAGTGTAGTGGATTTGGGGTTGGTTCTGCTTTTTTTTTTTTTTAATGGTATGAATGGGAGTGTCAGCCACCAAGCTCTTGCAGGCAGGACTGAGAACTGGAAGTCAAACTCCTTTTTTCACTAAGACTCACATCCATGTACCCACACACAGGAAAATTGCAGGCTCAGACAGATTTCCCAATGAAGTCCTTCAAGTACTTGGGGAAGAAATCATTCTTTTAGAGTTTCTATTTACTTATTTGTTTTTATTTTGAAAAGGAAGAAATGAGAAACAGAGCACACCCATCCACTGGTTCACTCCCCAAGCATCTTCAACAGCCAGGCAGGGCTGGGCCAAGCCAAAGCCAGCAGGCAAGAACGGAACCCAGCTC